TAATATTTTTTATTTCAAAATATATATTTGACTTCATTTATGCTCTAGTTCAATAGATTTAAATTATAATAGATTCTTCATAATGTTAAATAGAAAAATATGCATGATAGAAAAGATATGCTTGATAAAACAGATATACGAGACATACATGATATAAATGATAGGAAAAATATGCATGATAGGAAAAATATGCACGATAAATAGATGCATATAGAATAAATTTGCATATTAGTAGATGAATGAAGATGTCTTGAAAGAATGTATATTATGAAGAATGAAACAACTTATATATAATTGCTAGTATGTACATGTTAAGAGGAGGAGTTTACCCCCTAATGGTATAGGCAGGCATCAGTTTACTCGCATGTGTGGTTGTTTTCCCACCACCCCTGTAAATTAGATCATCAACCCTTGTGCCGATTGGAGAATATCAGCTAAGTGCGAGTAGGCAGCTTGCCACCTAAAAATTATGATGTTTAGATTGCTAACCACTTTGTCGATGCAAACATCTCATCCAGGGGCAAGTAAGAACCTTTCCTCCTTTGACAATTGTGATGTTTAAATCGTTAACTGCTGTGCTGGCGGTATAATATCGGTCAGGGGTGTGTTAAGTTATGTTTTTATGATGCTTCTCAAACAGACAGATATGCATTTTAAGAGCATAATATAAAAGTAAAGTTAAAGTTAAGGCTTGTACAAGTTTAGATTATTTATTGAGTAAACTTCATTGATACATACATTAGATTATTATAAGATTTTTTTATAGAAATATGAAATACTGATATGTATTTTGTTTTCTCTTTTTTTGAGTTACTGTAATTTAGAAGTATGGTTACTCTTGAGTTATCTTTTGATAACTCATTATTTTGTTTTAATATTTTTTTTCTAAATTTTAAGCTTTTGAATAAGATAAGTTGAAGATGAGCTAATGTGTACAAGAGGCAAGAACAGTAATCAAACAGGCAAAGAAACTTCTACTTGTTAATTAAATTGCTTTCTTTAGTGGTCCGTTTATGAATATTTGAATATTAAACTGTTAGTGATATAAATAACAGAACAGAGAGTTTATTTTTACCATTCGACCGTCAATTTCCATCTTTGTTAATTTCAAGCCCCGGAGTGGATCGTGACAACTGTGTGCGATTCTAAGTTCTCAGATCTCACATGTATAACAACCTAGTGCTTTTTCGAGTAAAATAAAATACAGACATCAGTAAACATCAGTCTCATGACAGTTACAAAATAGAAACTCCGAATTTTGGAAATCAAAGGTTGAAGGTAGTGTGCTATGACTGTCATGAACCTGATTATAGAAAAAGAACATGTCAAAAGTTGCTAAAAAAGAACTAGAAGGGTTCTAAATCATAGTAATCTCATATGGTCCCTACTACTGAGGCCTCTTGTAGTTACTCTCTCGATCTCTACAAATGAATATGGCAAGTTCATCAAATTTCAAGAACATCTAAGAAATCCCCATCTATCACGTCCCTTGTCAAGTTAGGTAACAATGATACTTGTCTTCTTTCATCTTTCACATAATTATTGGTCATTGATTCTAGTGCTACAGATCATATGACAAGTAATCCAAAACTCTTTTCTACCTTTCATAAACTCTTATATTCCATCATTTTAGCAGATGAATCTACCTCTAATGCTCTTGGTTTCGACACAATCAATATTACACCCACATTGCTTCAAACTTCTGTTCTCAATTTACCTCTTTTCGCTTTTAATTTGTTTCTGTTAGCAAAACTACATGTGCTCTTGATTGTTGTATCTTATTCTCTTCTGTTCATTGTCTATTTCAGGATATGATGAATAAGATTATTGGTAAAAGATGAAAATTTGGGGGCTATACATTTTGGATAATGAGATACCTCAACCCATAGCTTGTTTTAGTACCTTATCCCTTTTTGAGATTCATTGTCAATTAAGACATCCATTCATATCAATGTTGAAAAAGTTGTACTCTCAGTTTCAGAAGTTATCATCTTTATATTGTGGGTCATATCAATTTGCTAAACACCATTATTTATCTTCTGTTTCTAGAATCAATAAAAGAGTCATTCATAGTCTTGAGTTGGCTCATTCTAATATGTGGGGTCATTCATAGTCTTGAGTTGGCTCATTCTAATATGTGGGGATCTTATCCTATTTTATCTAATATTTTGCCACTTGTGTGGATGATTTATCTCGTATGATTTGACTTTAATTTATGAAATCTCGTTTTGAGGTACTGCATATTTTCAAACTTTTTGCGTCGAAATTAAAACTCAATTCAATATTTCGGTTAAAGAATTTGAGAATGTTAATGCCAAAGAATATTTTTTTGCACCCTTTCAGATGTATATAACACAAAATAGGATGCTTTAACACTCTATCTCAAAATAGAATTGATGAAAGTAAACATGGACATCTTTTTGAGACAGCTAGAACCCTTTTCTTTCAAACGAATGTGCCCAAACAGTTCTGGGCTGATGCAATTTCTATTGCTTGTTTTTGATCAATCAAATGCCTTCTATTATTATATAAAACCAGACACCCTACAAAGCTTAATTTTTAGCTTACTCTCTTTTTCCTATTAAACCACACATATTTGGTTGCACTTGTTTGCACTTGTTTTGTTTTTGATACTCGCCCGCAAGTGTCCAAACTTGACCCGTAGTCCTTAAGGTCTGTCGTTCTAAGTTATTCTCACTTACAAAAATGGTATCAATGTTTTTTCCTTTCTTAAAAAGGTACATGGTTTTTGCTGATGTCACATTTTATTAACAAATCACAGTCTTTGTTAACTCATCAGTGTCTAAATCCTCACCAGATTCTAATGAGTTGTTAACATACCCCATCACAAGTTCAGATCTAGCTCCAGCCTCATCTCTAATGTTTCAGCCCAAGCCACTTATCACTAATATTTACTCGAGAAGACCTCACTCCCATGATCTGAGACCGGCATCGGTATCATTTTCCTCTGGGGATCCTCCTCTCAGTGATCTTGATTTAGCCATTGCTCTTTGAAGAAGAAAACATCAATGCACCCATCCCATTTTTTCATCTTAATTATAATCAGTTTTCTTTCACTTCATGCTCATTTGTTGCTTTTCTTGACTTTGTTGTTGTTCCAAGATTTGTTCTGTAAGCCTTATCCTTTGGTGATGCTTGATGAGATGAATGTCTTAACTGAAAATGAAACATGGGAACTTGTTGAACTACTTTATCGAATGAAGGTTGTTGGCTATAAGCGGGTCTTTGTAGCTAAGTTTTATCCTGATGGATTTGTAGCTCGTCTCAAAGTTTGTTTGGTGGCTAAGGGCTGCTCAAAACTTATGGGATTGACTACTTGGACATATTCTCTTTGGTAGCTAAGTTAACTTCAGTTTGCCTACTCCTATCGTTGGCTGCAATAAATAATTAGCCCCTGCACCAGCTGGATGTGAAGAATGCTTTTCTGAATGTTGATCTGTTGGAAGAGGTATGCTTGGAGCAATCTCCTGAGTTTGTTGCTCAGGAGGAGTCTGAGAAATTATGTTGTCTTCGGAAATCTCTGTACGAATTGAAGTAAAACCCTCGAGCATGGTTTGGAAAATTTAGCTAATCATTAGAAGGGCTTGGGATGCAGAAAAGTAAAAGTGATCACACTGTATTCTATAAGCAATCTGTTTGAGGAATCATTTTATTTTTGATTTTTTTAATGACATTTTTATTACTTGAAGTGATGCACAATAAATCTTATCAATAAAATCATTGCTTCAAAATAAGTTTAGTACTAAAGATTTGGGTTTCTTGAAGTACTTCTTGGGGATTCAGGTATCAATGAGCAAGAAAGGTTAAACCATGCAGTACTCAACGAATGTATGTGTTGGATTTGTTAGTAGAAATTGGAAAATTAAGGGTCAAACCATGCAGTACTCTGATGCTTTCTAATCAACAACTTACCAAGGATGAAAAGCTTTTTAATGATCCTGAACGGTATATGAAGTTAGTGGAAAAGTCAAACTATCTCACAATAACTCGTCTTGATATTGCATATTCAGTTAGTACTATAAGTAAGTTTATGTCTTCCCCTCAGTTCATCATTAGAGAGCTCTTTGACAAGGTATTTATATCAATATTACGGGCATTAAAATATTGAATATTTCTCTGATGCAAACTTGACAAGTTTCAAAAATCGAAGATCCATTACTGGATATCGCGTCTTTGTTGGTGGTTATTTGGTCTCATGGAAGAGGAAGAAACATAATGTATTGTCGCGATCCAATGCTGAATTTGAGTATCGAGCGATGACACAAGCTTCGAGTAAGTTGATGTGGGTTTTCCAATTTCCGATCGAATTGGTTTTATGACTACTCCAACAAAGTTGTGGTGTGATAACCAAACTGCAATTCATATTGCGTCTAATCTTGTCTTCCATGAAAGAAGAAAGCATATTGAGATAGATTGTCATTTTGTTCGTAAAATGATTTAACAGAATTTGATATCTATAACTCATGTAAAAGACTAGGGAACAACTAGGAGGCATCTTCACAAATGCCCTTAATAGAATAAGGGTCACTTGTATTTGTAACAAGTTGGGCATAATTAACATAAATGCTCTAGGTTGAGGGGGGGTATTATGGAAAATACTAAATATAAAGATTGTTTATTCGAAAGTTTGTATATTAGGTAATCTAATTAGAGGAGATTTAATATCAGGTTTTTTCTATATTAGGTATACTCTTAATCTGGAGAGAGGCGAATGTCTATAAGTTTTAACATATGATTTCAGAGCTTTACTTATATAATAGTAAATATTTTGTTGTTTGTTATCTTCTATTGTCTTTAGTTTTGTGGTTTATTTTCTTTCTAATGAATAAATAATCTATGGCATATAATATTTGATTACATTTGAGCTAATTACATTTCAGAGTTTGTTGACGTTTGTGATATTCATTGACCTACATGCTATTAAAATAATTCACCTGTCTGCAACCCATCCTTCATCGTGAGGTTTTGTGGCTTTGCAGTGCATTTTGATGGATGAGAATGGAGATGGGAGAAATGCCGATTCTTATGGCGTGTTGTTGTATTATAACTACACCCCTATACCTGACGTTGCTTCCCTAGCCAGATTCTATGATGCCCATTGCCAATCATTAAAACTCTTTGGCCGCATCCGGGTTAGCCTTGATGGCGTCAATGTCACTGTGAGCTCTGTTTTTCATAAGGCTTTAATCTATATGAGAAATTTATTTATTTTGCAAAAAGTTTAGAACTTGCAATTTGTGATTTCTTGTGTCCATTGATCCTTTTATTAGATTGGAGGGAAGTTCTCAGCTTTGGAAGAGCACATAGCAGTTATGAGTTCAAACAGCTTGTTTGATGGTACCGACTTCAAGCTAGCATCTAGCGGTCATCCTTCAAATGAAAGTATTGCAAGGGAGTGCGGGTTTACTTCTCTCTCTGTTCGGATTGTTAAGGTTCTTTATTTGGCTAATATAGCTTCTAGTTCATGATTTTTAAATTTATGGTTTGAGGAAAATTAAGCCATTAGTGAAGTTGCAGCAGATGCTTGAAATTCTTATTTTACTTATCATTCACTAAATGTGATAGTTTAAAATGTATATTATACTTTCCAGTGGTGAAGTTATTCCGGTGATTAGACTTCACTATTTTTGGTTTTGCAAGATCTGGTGACATTTAAATTTGATCGATTAGTTTAATGCCTTTGCTCTTTCAATATTGACAGGAGCTGGTAACTTTTATCTCCAATCCTTTGTTGAAATCGCCAGTGATCTCAAATGCTGGAAGGCACCTCTCTGCATCAGAATTCCATTATGTTCTGCATCAGGCTGCTAAGTGTGCTACTGATGGTTGATTGACAATTATCTGAGATCAGTATTTTTTTTTTTACTTTAACCATAAATATTAGAGCCTCTGATGGAAATTCTTATTTGCAGGAAATGCTTTGCATTATGGGGCAAAAATGCAGAATGAGAATATTGTATTGTTGGACGCAAGGAATGTGTATGAGACTAGGATTGGGAAGTTCAAAGTATCAAATATTAATACCCTGGATCCAGAAATAAGGCAGTACAGTGATTTAGCTTCGTGGATAGATAAGTACTCTGAAAGGCTTCGTAACAAGGATGTTCTGATGTAAGTATTACTGTTGTTATTTTACTAGTACAAGTGTTTGAGGACCAAATTGGTATGAAGTATTTAAACAGTAGATATTATCCTAGTACAACCTTATGGAATTGATTGATTTGAGTTTTTGATGGGATATTTAAAAGCAACATCAAGTACATGTACATACAATAAATTATAACTCGAAACTAAATCAGTTCACTTTAAAATAATATTTTTATCTTAAAAAAATTATTCTCATTCAAGGCCCTATGCATGCAACTCAAAACCATATTTAATTTAGTGAAAAATTCATGGAAAATAGTATTCTTATCTAAATTTCCAACTTTTCTCTTCTTCTCTTCTTCCTTTCTTCTCCTTTTCCTATTTTTGTTCCCTTCTTTTATTTTATTCTCTTTCTTTCTTTCCTTGCTCAAACCTTAGTCCTCACCTCTTGTCTCCAGCTCTTTGTTATGGCATAAGGGAATAGGAATTGCTTGGGTGTGATTATACAAGTGTTTATATAAATATAAATATATATATATATTATATACTATTAGTTATTCTATTAGTTCATCTTTGATGTCCAATTGGCCTCTGCATTGTTTGCATGCATATGAGGAGAATATAAAGTCTCTATAGTAATGATAGACGGATAAGCACTAAATTTAATTAAAATTTCAGGAAAATTAATTTAGTGAGAAATTAATTAATAATTGATCATATTTTATTTATTTATATATATTTTTAGTATATTAAAAGGATCAAAATAAAATATATAATTTATGAAAATATGTTTTCTTGTTATAGAGATGTGTGAAAAGGAGGTTATAAATTCTACACGTAAATTTTTTATTATCTTCTTCTTAATATTTTGGGGTATTATAATTTTCCTTATAAAAATTTTGTCATGGGACCTCTTTTCCTCAATGATCAATTAGACAGATGAAGTATTTTTTTTTCACATCATACTCTCGTTCCCTTTTTATTTGACATTGACTTGAGGAATTTATCAATTTCTCAACTTTTAATATCAATTTCTTATATTATTTCAGGTTCTTCAATATAAGTAAGGTTTTTAGCAACTCAATTTCAATATGTGATATTCTCTGATTTGTATGTATAAATCATTTTTCTAGCTTTGATATATAGTGTCATGCATATCAAACATGTCTGCTGGTAGTACTAGTTTATAGTCAACTTTTCTAAAGTTCAGTTATTTCAAATGTTCCTATATATCTGGGATTGAACGCCACTCAGCCAAATCTAATGGCACATTTCATAGGTCTAAGTTTCAAAAATATAAAATCGCCAACTTCAAATTTTACCATTCTATCTCTTAGGTTATATTTTTGTTACCAATACTGAATAGTTTTCAATTTATCTCTATTAATCTGATTTTGTTTAGTCTCAACAACTAATTTAGGACCTATCAACTGTCTTTACCTCAAACTAACTTAATGATGCTCAGCATTTACTGCCATATACTGTTTCTTAATGCTGAGCATCATTAAAATGTTAATTTTAAGTTGGCACCAAAATTCAAAACACAATCTCAGCAATTTTCTAATATTTAAATAATCCTTTATAATTGGTCGTCAATCTGCGGATAAGATATTGAAATAATATATAACGTTGTGCCCAAACTCTCATGAAAACTCTTTCAGAATATAGGAGTGAACCTGTAGTTTTTGTTTGACAAGATTATCTTTGGTATGTCACATAATCTCACAATTTCTTTTATATGTAATCTCTTAAGGTTTGCAATTGAATCTGTTTGTTTTATGAACAAAATGTGAGCGGACTTGATCTATTTGTCAGTTATAACTTAAATGTAATATTTCTTGGTTTTGAATTGTGAAATTCAATAGCAAATTCTATTACAATTTCTTTCTACTTCTGCTCTAGGAAAGATAAGAATGTATACAATTGATCTCTGATATTCGACCTTTATAATTTGATAGGTTGCACATTTTGACACATATTCAAATACATTCTTCCTTATACCTAGCCACCAAAATATTAATTTAAAGTTTTTATACATCTTAGTGCTCCCTGGGTGAACTAAATTTGATGAGATAGCCTCTCTAGTGCCTACTTTTGAATTAAATTTTAAAGGTTTTCTTAATTGGCCATTCATTTTTGTTTTTTTTGGATAGTCACTGTTTTATTTAAGCATGCAATTGTACGTTCTTCATGAGTTACAACACCTTTATTGCCAATACCAGTGATATATTGGATACCTCAAAATAACCTTTGAAAGTAAGGTAAGAACTAGGGCAGCAATCATCAATTCATTTGCTTGAATGTGCTTCTGCACACATGGCCATCACGGGATTATGCATATCAACATATCGGAACATGGAGATAGATGCTGTAGGCTTTAAGGTATTGCTCTGGATGCTAATTTGTTACTTTTTGATGACTCATAGGGGCTTTTACTCTAGTATGGTCACACCCTTGAAATATGCCAATTACATTAAAGAGAAATAAAAAATGTTACGACAGTAATAAACAGTGCCAGAAAAAAGACCGGCACGGTCAAAATCAACAAAAAGGAAAAAAGAAGTGAGAGTTATCCACCTCCCTATCAAAAAATCTATCATGTAAAGCCTATGAGCACAAATATGTGCAGTCATATTTTTTTTTCTATATATATGTTGAAACAAACCTATTTAAAAATAGTCAAAAAATTCATGTTTTCAGAGTTGAGCGGATTCCCTACCTCCTTGGAGTTAGCATGATTGAGGGAGAGAAAACAGTTGCGGTTGTCACTTTCAATAATAATACTTTTAGCTTCATACATCCAAGGCTCAATGAAACTTTTGACAGAACAGATGGCACGAAGCTCTACAAACTTTTGATACGACAGTCAATTGGTATCCCATTGCTTTGGAAAATGGAACTTTTAGGGGTGTTAATATGGACTCTCTTCAAGTCTTGCAGTTTTGGTTAGCTGGTCTGTATTTGGCCTTGTAGTGTGTCATTATCTATTTGAAATAAAGGTTGATAGTGGTATTGGAAAAATTCTAGCAACAAAAATGTTAATAAAATCTACTATGAAAATGAAAGGTATCATGACAATACAATCACTGCAAAAAGTTTTTTTAGATCAGATAAGAAGTTTATACTTAATCTTCAAGGTTTTCTAGCAATGCTTTTGCTAGCTCCATCCACATTCAGCTCTTTCAGGCAAGCCTCCATGCAGATCCTGCATAAGGGATTTCCGGAGCAGATTCATGTCAAGGCTATATTAGTGAGTTAATATGATTGCATGAAAAACTTGTACAGGTTCCGAGAAGAAATTTTGGTGTCATAGAATAAGTTTGACCAAAAGAGCTTTGAAGTACGTTGTGACCTTATGCCGGCCAAAACAAGAGCATGACTACCCATCTCTGTAATGAAAGTTTTTTTGGAGTTTTGATAAGATTGTCCAACAGGAATGGAAAATTGTTTGGCTTGTGAAAGTCTTACCTGATTGAGTACAATTTTGATGAAAATACGGATTACAAGGAACCTAAAAAATATGACTGCCATTTGATTCATCTTATTTGATTGAACTGCACTTTAAATGAGCATAGATTGACTTAATTAATTTGCAATGCTTTGACCGTTTGAATGAAGTTTATGCATGCTTGAACTAACCAAAACAATGCTATAATTTGCCTAAATGACCATAACTAGCCTTGAATCTCTCTACAATCAAACAATCTTTTTTCCTCCTCAAGTTGTCATGGACTTGTACAAAGTGAAAGGGGGTGACTAAAGCTTCTTTGGCTGTCACCTTTGTCATTGGGAGGCTAGAGGGCTCAACTCCTTAAAATCAGCCCAAATGAAGAGCATGTTGGTATTCTCAGTGACATGAAGTCCAAAATACATGGTCTTCTCATTATCATTATTTGCTCATTTTGCCATCGTAAATCTTCAAAATTAAGATATTATCTAAACTATTGCAATTGCTATGTTCCACCTTATCATGATTTGTTAATCTAAAAAATTACTTCTCTTGATGAGAAAAGTTGATATTTTTAATGATCGTTAATGTTTTTGGTTGTTGAATTTAAATGAGGCAACATAACTTGTTGGAATCTTCCCATCGATCCACCAAATGAAGTTCTAAGCCTATATCTCTTGAAGAAAGATTTTTTATTGGAGGCAATTTAAATGGATATGTGGTAGAGTGGTTGAAGATTTTAGAAATATTCATGGTGGCTACGGTTATGGAATGATTAATGAAGAAGGTATAACTATATTAAATTTTGCTTCAGTGCATGATTTTATTATTTATTGCTAATATGATTTTATTATTGCTAATATTTTATTTAAGAAAAGAGATTAGCATATTATTACTTATAAGAATGGATCTAATAAAACACAAATTGATTATTTTCTTATGAGAACAGATCGTCGAGAATGTAAGGATTGTAAGGTCATTCCAAATGAAAATTTAAGTACTCAACATCAATTATTTGTTTTGGATTTTAAGATGAAGAGTTGCAAGATGAAGAATATTAGGAATCATTTTCATAGAATTAGATGAGAGACACTTAAAAGACAAATAAAATTATTTTTCTGAGTAAACTTCAAGATTTCAAGATTTGAGATGTTTATGAAGAAGCAAATTCTATGTGGAATAAAGTAACAAATACTATTAAACAAGTGACAGAAGATGTACTTGGAGAACCAAAAGAAAAAATTTTTATAAATAAAAATAGTTGGTGGCGGAATAATAATGTGTAAGAAAAGATAAAATATAAGAAATTGTGTTATAAAAATTGATTAAATGTAAAAATCTAGAGAATTGGGAAAAATATAAGATGACCCGTAGAGTCTAAGAGAACAATTTGTGACGCTAAAAATTCTTTTAGTGATGTTTATAATGAATTAGATATTAAAGAGGGTGAAAAATATATGTATAAACTAGCCAAACAAAGAGAAAAGAAAGGTAAAGATTTAATTAAGTAAAGTGTATTAAAGATGAATATTAAAAAGTGTTTTTCTTAGAAAAAGATATTCAACATAGGTGGGTGAGCTACTTTGATATACTTAGTTTCTGAAAATATAATCGAACTTAGTGATCTTAATATCTTTAATAATAATAAAATATTTTATTTTTATTGTCACATTTTTAAAAAAAGAAATTGAGGAGGCTTTAAAGAGAACCAAGGGTGGAAATTCAGTAGGACCTGATGATATCCCCATTGAAGTGGAATATCCTAATTGAATTATAGAAATATTTAGGAGATTTGGAAGTTTCTTGGCTTACCAAACTCTTTAATATTATTTTAAAAACTAAAAAGATGCCTAAGGAGTGGAGTATTTTGGTTCTCATTTTTAAGAATAAAGGGGATGCACAAGATTGCATAAGAGTGAACAAATTCTAGAGGAATTAAGTTGATGTGTCATACTTTAAAATTATGGGAGAGGGTACTTGAACATAGGTAAGACGTGATACAAAGGTTTCTCATAATCAGTTTCGAGTTATGCCTGACAGGTTTACTATGAAAGTTATACATTTATTGAGAGGTTTGATGGAGAAGTACAAAGAGAAAAAGAAGGATTTACATATGATTTTTGGATAAAAAGAAGGATTTACATATGATTTTTATTAATTTAGAAAAAGCTTACGATAAGGTTCCAAGAGAAGTCCTTTGGAGAGTTCTAGAGAAAAAAGTTGTCGATATGACTTCTATTCAAGTCCTTAAAGATATGTATGCTAGAGCTATTACTTTTGTTCGGACAGAAGGTGGATTGACCAAGTATTTTCCTATTTATGTTTGATTACATCATAGATCGGCTTTAAGCCCATATCATTTTGTTTTTGTTATGGATGCTCTTACTAGACATTTACAAGAGGATGTACCTTGTGTATGCTTTTCGCTGATGATATCCTTCTTGTGGATAAGACTAGAGAAAGAGTTCAGGAAAAGCTTGAATTATGGAGGTCTACATTTGAGTTTAAAGGCCTTCATTTAAGTAAAACTAAAACTGAATACATGGAATGTAATTTCAATAGTAATATATTTAGTGATAAAGTTGTGACTATGAGTGATCAAATCATTAAAAGGTGTGAACGTGTTGGGTCTATTGTTTAGAGTGATGGTGATATAGATGAGGATGTTATTAGTAGAGTTGAAGTTGGTTGGTTGAAGTGGAGGATTGCTTCGGGCCTAATGTGTAATAGAAAAGTACCGCTTATACTGAAAGGAAAATTTTATAAGATGGTGGTGAGACCTGCAATGCTCTATGGTGCAGAATGTTGCTGAGATGAGAATAATTAGATGGATGAGTGTCTTGACGCTTAGAGACAACATGCAAAATGAATATATCCGTGATAGGGTTGGTGTAGCTCTAGTGGCAGACACGATTAGAGAGAGTCGTCTTAGATGGTTTGATCACATTAAACGTCTACCATCTATGATTTGGTTAGGTGAGTAGATGTTTTAGCTTCAACTGATATTAAAAAAGACAAAGGTAGACCTAAAAAATTTTAGCATATTATATAAAAAATGATCTTAATCTATTATAATTAAATAAAAATATGACACTCAATAGGACACAGGAGAAAAATGATTCATGTAGCCGACCCCACTTAGTGGGATAAAAGCTTGTTGTCGTTGATCAAAGGTGAAGGCAACTTCAATCAAATTCTTAACTAATTTTTACTATGAGGCTTGGATGATTGCTTTCGCCCATTATGAGTAAACATCAACCAATAATTTGGTTATTTCTACATTGATCATGACCAAGTCTGTAAATATGTATTTTGATTAATTCATTTAAGGGTTCTTGAGCCTGAAATCGGAGGGAGCTATGGAGACTAGGATAAATCTCTGCCCTATTTGCATTCAAAACCTGACCATGACTTTCAAACCAGTCTTCATTGTTGATAGTTTTTGTGCTGCATGCCTGTAACGGCTTAGACGGGATACTCTTTTGACATTCAACTAAGTCTGGTGGTTTTGCCTTCCATGCCTTCCACTTCACAAATTTTGGCCTCTTCTATCATAACATGTTTGGAAATTTATCTGCTAAGGACTATTATATACTCTCTGGCTCCTACCTAACACACAATAATACTATTATTTGTAGCAGTAATTTCATTAAAAAAAAGATTGAATGTGTGGACTTGAACAAAAAAACATTTTTGTTGAAATAATTTTGAAAAGTTTGATTTGCTTTTGGATGATGTTTTTGTCCATAAAATAGTAGTTTGTTTTTTCAAATTTTTGTTAGTTCATATGAAACTTGATTACCCAATAGCTTGCCACATTAATTGCATGGGCAAATATCTGATATATTTTTGTTTACGTTTCAGGTATTGCACTGGGGGCATAAGATGCGAGATGGCATCAGCCTATATCAGATCAAAAGGTTCAGGTTTTGAGAACGTGTTTCAGGCAAGTCACCCTGAAGGAATTATTCAGAAGTTTTGTTTTTTATTTTTAATTTTAAACTTCAGTTTTTCTTCTACTTGTGTGTCATGGGACCACTTGTTTATCATTTACTAACTGACATCAAAGATGTAGTGTTTATTGTGTGTCACATAAGATGTCTATTTATTTATTGGCTATCATTTTGCCATTGACTAATTTTATATTATGATTATATGCTCAATTTTATGATATTTATTCTTATTTTTCATTTTGTATCTATTAGCGGCCAATGAGTAGCTTATTATTTTTTAAAGGACTGTTTTTTTCATTTTTATGGAAGTTTTTTTCATTTGAATTAAGAGTATTGATTATAAATAGTTCAGTATTGTCATCTCTTTCTTCATGCTTCGAGAATTGAGATCCTCATCTTGGGGTTTCCATAACTCATTCCTTGTAGAATTAGCGCAAATTGCAAGTTCTCTTAACCCATAGTTCTTACGCTGGTAGCATCACTTTAGTTTCGATCTTCTCAAACCTATAAGCCATGAGTTCCTGCATAATAGTCTAATCTTCAGAAAATGCATGTGGACTCTCTCATCTAGCTGTATTTTTTTATTTCTAGTGTTGTTAAGTTAAGATATTCTGGTCATATTGCGCAGGACTAGAAGTTGATTGTAGAATGGGATAAAAAAAAAAAA